GTCGCAATAATGTAGTCGATGCTGGTTTTGACGGTAGAACCCGAGGGCCGTTTTTTATTCATGAAAAACAACAGATTATTTTAAAAAAAGAACCCAACACAATTAATGATAATCTTCGCATGATATCGCGGTACTTGTTTGGCGTGGCGACGCGGTGTCCGGCACGTCAAACGTCAAAAAGTTAGCAGCGACTGGTGCGGTTCGTCAAGTCCGGTCGTGCAACACGTTCGGAGCCGGTGGCGTATGTCCTCGACGTTATCAGTTTGACGACGGGACGGAGACTTATCATTTGCGACGGGTCATAGAAGACCGTGCTGAACTTTGCACCATGGCGTATGGCGCGCGGTATTGGTCAGTTAAACTATCAAAAACCCGTTAGTAGCATTACCTGATGGTAACGGCTGATAAAGTTGGCGCGGGACGCGGGGCACCGTGTCAATAAAAAACTAAAAAGGTAGAAATCTTCTTAAAAAAAAATAGTGTCTTAAAAAAACTCAAACAAAATAAAATTTTTATTTACTATATTAAAGCAAAACAAACACAATAAATTTATCTCAAATCATTTATTGTTTATATTATCTGCTGCATTTTTTTCTCCTCAGTGTTTTCCGTACGAACGATCAACTGGTTCTTTACTTCGCAACCATCGGCGCTTGCGTCTTCACGTCAGTCGGCTGTTGTTCCTTACTCCATTTGTTATTTTTATTTTATTGTTCATATTTACATTAGTCAGCACTGAGATTTTGTAACAATAACCTTAAAACTACTAAATTACTTATTTTTAATTTTTTAACGTACACAGAAAAGTAAAAACAATAAAAAAATGTATTTTAAAATTGAAAATTTGTAGATAGAAAATTTTAATTAGTTTACATTAGTGTATATGTAATTCTAACGGTGCCTACAATGCATATTTATTAATGTGTTTCATTTACACAAAGATTAGTTTTACCAAATACATTTGGCGGTGCTTATAATATAAATAATTATAATTATTATCAACCATAATTAAAGTAAACTTATAAACTAGTTTCAATGATGTTTATGATAATCATTAACCGTGATTTAAATAAAGATAACATAGATTTTGTTTCGATAAAATTATTATTATGAAAACTTAAATTTACTTTCAACGGTGATTATAATTTTATAATTACTAACAGTGATAAAAGTAAACAAAAAATAATCCTTATAAATTATTTTATGTGATGTTTATGAAATTAATAATTAACCATTATTAAAATATATTATAATATTTAAAAACAAAGTAAACAAATTAATCCTTTTTAATCATTAATATTATCTATAATAAATATTATTTATAAAAAAATATAGACTTCATTCCATTATTAATTTTCTTTATGTTTTAATATTAAAATATATCAATATTAAAAATAAAAAAAGTTAATTTAAATATTAGCCAATAGGACTTATAGTGTTCTTATGCAGAATATTCAACTATCTTCATAACAGATGGGCAATATGAAACAGTACACACGTGAGTGACTATTCTGGAATTTTAAGTTCATCGGGAGCATAAACTAGGCAATCCTAGAAACATTAGCGTTTGTGTATAAGCAAACTAAATCCCTCGGTCCACAACAAACAATAATAATCATCAAGAATAACCTTAAGACCAATAAGTCTTTCAGTCGTTTGTACAAAAAGTGTAATTCTGTGACATTAGTGTAAATATTCAGTGTTTTAATTTTTGGACATTTATTGTAAATAAACTAAAATACATTTCATTTTTATTTATTAATTAAACAATGTTTTTCAAGAAGTCAGTCTCATTATCGACTATATTTTATTAATGATAGATATTTTTTTTTGTCCTTTATTATAGTTTTAATTTTAGTTGCTATAGAAGTTAGCAAGAACTGCCTATGCACTCAGACCTATAAGTCCACTTTTCGTACCTCCTACCGAATTAAATTAATTCACATAAGTGTTTCCACCGAAGTGTTGTTGCTATTGTTGAAAATTTAAGACTATAGGACGTCCTACTAGGCCGCATGTATATATATCCAAAGAGTCCTTTCTCTCTAGCGAAATTAAGTATCTCTTTGTTTTTGTCTTTCAATTCAAAAATAAATAAATAATAGTTAGAAAAACAACTCAGTTATAATCCTAAGTAACTTATAAGCAAGTGACAATGACTAATGAAAGAACATAATTGGTTTAGGTGAAGTGACAGTAGAGCCGTTTCTATATCGAAGATGTACACATGTGCGACTGACAAGACTTTTAACAGTGTGATACTATAAGATTTGAGGATTCACAACTGAAACGTTCAGAGGTATTGTACATTATATTTTTATATCAGATTTAAAGGTAATGAACAATATATTTTGAAAAGAATCAAATTAAATTATCGGTTGATAATATAAGCTCTCCGGTTCCTCGATAATTTTTATAATTTCACTTTGTCTTTAACTTCATATTTTTTGATAAAGATTTTCAATGGTAAATTTTAAATCAAAGAGTTCTTGACTCCATAAATTTAAAACTTATTTTAAAAGATTTAGAACAAATGCATTCTCTAAGTAAAATGTAACAAGTAGTTATTAAGAGTAGTATTTCGTATTGAGTAGTATTTGTTAAAATTTTAACTACATTTTTACTCATTTTTTAATTATATATGAATTCCATTTGAGAATTTAATGTTCAGGTGGATTTCATTCTATCTTGGATTAATAAGACTTTAAATGATATGTTTTAAGTCTACCACTGCGTGTACTGTTTTTAATAAATTGATATCGTACGTTACAATCTATTGATCAGGCTTATAAAGTTGTATTCCAATTTTGACATTATAATTGATGACTCTAATTCGTGTGGGTACTTATACTAAAGTACCAGTAAAGAAGAAACAGCAAATTCATTTGTAGGTTGTAGACTGTACTGTGACAAATTATACCGTTACAGCTCAGCAAAGGATTTTTCTAATTACCTACTGAATTCTATACAGTCTTGCTAGTTATCGGGTACATTATGCCGGTTTATGAGTACACAGGATAAAAGTTAATGTATTGCTGATGGCATCAATCATATCATATCCATTATTTTACTTTTGATTTAATAAAATACATGCTTATTTATAAATCATAGAAAAAAATAATTCAACTTTTCAAATCATTGTTTATATAAATATAGTACAGATATAATTTAAAGTTGTCTTAATATTACTATTTAAAAAGTAAATTTTTCATGAACTCAATAAAAATTAATTCTTCAATAATTATAATGCAAAAATGTACATCAATTTCACGTGAGCGCTATTGTATTGATTATTGTAAGTACCAATGAAATTGAATAAGTTGTATTTTAAATACTCTTGACAAAGTAATAAATAATTTATTTTTTTAAAACAAGTAACGTTTACTTTTACTTTAATAACTTTTGTACATAAAAATATTTTACTATATTTATATATACAATTGTAATCACAATGATTTAAAATAAAATGTTTATATTATAGTATTCTAGTCTATAATTGAAATGTTTTTTTAAACTTGAGAAATTCCAAGTAACAAAATAAACATTTATATTCAAGTCTTATAAAAACACAGCCAGAAAAATAATTTTGAAAGAGAACCTTTTAAAAGTAGGCTCAAAACAAAATGCATAATGTGTTTTAGAATAATTTTTAGAGAGGTAGGGAAAAATATAATTTTACCTTCTAATAGTTTAACTTACCTTAAAAGGTAAAGAAAATTTGTTAAAACTAATATTAAACAATGTTTGTTAATAACAATTCTCCAACAATGTTGTGACCAAACTTTTATTTTTAACCCTCTTCACACACTTTCCATTGCTTGATTTTATTATATAACTTGATATTTTTACATTACTTTATATTACCTCATTTTTATCTGATGGCGAGAATTTTTTTTTTACTTTTTATTTTATGGCAGTCAATATTTTATCGATACTTGAACAAATAAGTGTTATTAGTTGAATTCATAGAGAACTTTATCATTTTCTCTACCTTTTATTATTATATTTAAGTACTTCTGCATTATTGATAATCAAAATAAGTCAGAATTTATGAGTTATCGCAAGGTATGACTATTTATTCAGTAACGTAAGTGTGTATAAAATGTGTATTTGTTGCAGAAAATATATTGTTTTTGTGCTAACTATATCTGCGCACTATTTAATAGTTTATATTAGCACAATGTAATAATGCAAAGTGTTATTTTACAAAAACCCCACTTTGATGTGGAGGTACTAGGATTCCATTCCGTTGTGTTGTGTAGGATTTTCCATACTTTCTACGGAAAGCAGTAATTTTCATACAATATCGTTACATATAATTCTAAAAAAAAATATTATAGAGATAATTTATTTTATTTTTAAAAGTGAGAAAAATAGAATTATCATAACTGAACCTTAAAAGAAAAATGAGGTAGTAATTAAACTTTCTTCTTTACGTTCACCTGTGAAATTGTTTCATTTAAAATATTGATTTATTTTCAGAATTCATTAAAATTCCCAGAAGCTATTTAATTTTTAATTTTTATTAAGACAGATCAACAGTTATGTATTATAAAAGTTAATGGTAAAACTTTACATCAATGTATTATTAATAATTTAAATATCGGTCGAAACACGTTATAAAGTCGTTAATTTTGTAGTTTCTTTAAATTAAAAACAGTCGTAAATTCAGTACCACAATATCAGTTGATATGATATACAAGAATAACTTTCTGAGATTACAGAAATTGTTTTTTTTAGTATATTAGTTATTTAAAAATTATAACATGAAGATATTGAAATTTTTTTTAATATTTGCAATTTGTTGTTGTATTTTTTTTATTGTTGATAATATCTTTGTAATAAGTAATCTGAAAGTCTGGGGAAATCTGTGGACCTTAATTAATCTGTTCTTTTAATTACTGTATTTAGATCAAAATTTAAAATATTATCGCTAAAAGAGAATTAATACTTGACATGTGGTTCTTGTGTATTAAGTATAAGTATAAGATACCACTCACTGTTCACTGTGTTATCGGGTTTGCCGGTCCATTCGTTTTAAATAGAAACAGCAGTGCCATCACTTCCTGAAACATCATTTATCTCTTGTAAATAATAAAGCAGTTTTTATAGTTTTAGATAAATTTCACCAGTTATAAATAGGATTTTTTTCTTGATTATTATTATTATATAACAATAATCTATTTTAATAAACATTTTTAGTAAAATTTTCCCACTCAACCAACTTTAACAGTTCTTTTATTACAAACATAAAATTGTTTTGAGATCTTGAGAAAAATTAATATGTAGTGAATTATGCCTTATGGTATTATATAATAATGTAGGTATTGATTTTTTAACAATGATTGCTGTATTTGTTAAAATTGAGTGCCGTAAATTTCTTTTAATCAAAGGGATTTTTAATACTTTTGAGTCGATATAGACACTTGGATAAAATATGTCTTTAATTTATCCTTATCTGATTATTTATTAAACTTGAGACAATAATTTACCTTTTAATATGTAAATACTTTATAGTTAATATATATGTGAAAATGTTATCATAAATATTGCGATACAAAAATCTACGATGTTATCATTGACATTAAAAGGATGCTTTAAACGTATGTAATATGCACTTTCATTTATAGATAATGTTGTTAAAATTAATGATGTCATTAAATTGTGTAAGAATGATAACCACATTTTATTACAAAACTAAAAGCTTTGGCAATTCCAAATAATGGACGGCTATTTTTATAATTTTACCTATAAAGTTATTTGGGTATATCGATATAAAATGGCTTTTATAAATTAAAATAAAAAAGTATGGTGTACCTTCAAAAATAACTAAATTAATTCGTATTTAATTATTTTATTGTTTATCCTAAACAAATGTACACTCATTCACTCAGTTTTTACGATTATTTAACATGTAGTATCATTTGCTCTAAAATGGCTATATAAACTTATAAAAGACAATAAGGTTTCATGATTGAGTAGAAAATCAACATCAATTGTAAAAGAAATCAACATTTCATTATAAAATTTTAAGGGAAAACTTTTAAAGTTTGAAAATACACACTTCTATATTGAAATTAAAAGCAACAATAGAGCAAACCTGTATAGTTATAAGTTGGAAAGGTTAAATTTAACAATCAAATTAAAACCATAGAATTCAGTAAANGCAACAATAGGGCAAACCTGTATAGTTATAAGTTGGAAAGGTTAAATTTAACAATCAAATTAAAACCATAGAATTCAGTAAAAAAGTCCTACGAAATTGTACATTTTGTGTGCCCGAGAAATATTTTTTCCTAAAAAGTATTGTTTTATATTATTTTCAAAAAATTACAATGAATTATTATTTCTTTGTACACTCATTTGTTTAGTCCAATAGAATTTTCTAAAAAGTTCGTCAAACTAAACCAGTAAAACAGTTTAGTTTTTATTTAACAAGAAAAATAAAATCGATAAAAGTAATGAAACAATAATT